ACATTATATTCCCCTTATTTAATAAAAATGAATTTTTAATGCATATATTTTTCCTAGATTATAAGAGTTGTAATTATGGTTCAATTACAATTTGTCTAGTATGATTTTGACGTTGTACGGATGCACATAAATAGCCACATGAGTGCACACAACGAAACACATGTCCAGAAGATGATAAAATGTACGAAGAAATGTATGTCATCCCATGTACAATGCACACAAACAGTCACGTGAGTGCGCACAACCGCAAACAGCATATATGTGCACAACACAAGTGCACAAATGGATAATAGTGTGCATTCATTTGAAGCAAACCAAAGTGCACACGATAGAGTATGAAAGTGCACACACTATTGTCGACACAATGACATACATGACAAATCAAAGTCAACCATTGGAATAATTACTGAGAAAAAAACCCTAAATAAATAAATAAATATATATATATATATATATATATATATATATATATATATATATATATATATATATATATATATATATATAAAAGCACAATAAATGTAATGAGAGGATCTCCTCAAATTTTTCATATGTAGATGGACGTTCCATACAGACAAATGACTCATTTGTCCCTAAATGATAATCATTTCCTTTTTTTGAATGCTAATTACATGAGATTGATGATGATCATTGATCTTTTATTTTATATGGCTTAGATTTATTTTCATATTCTCATGTGGGATATATATATATATATATATATATATATATATATATATATATATATATATAATATGTATACCATCAAAATAAATTAATAGCATGTTTGGTTAGGAGGAATTAGAATTTCACTTTCACCTAATTCTAAGGCAAACAAATATTTGATTAGGGAGAATTGTAATTTTCTCATTTTTTACGAAATTATAATCTCATACCTACCCTAGTTATTTTCAATTTTGCCTTTTTGAAAGAATAATAAAATACTATTAAGACAAAATTGTCATCTTATTTTCTAACCTAAAATTTATGTTTCATTTGTCTGCTCACATTTCCCTCTCATCACATATTTTTCTTCTTCTATGGTCTCAACACACAGAACGCCAGCTCGAAGACTTGCAAACACTCTCGTTCCTATATTTCCGAATAACAAATGCATTGCATTATAATTTTGACACAAATTTACTTGTCATAATAATAATAATAATAATAATAATAATAATAATAATAATAATAATAATAATAATAATAATAATAATAGACATTTTAATCACTATACTACTTATTCCCTTTTAATTATCATAGATACTAAATACTATAATTGAAATTTTCAATAATTATATTACTGAAAACTACAAATTGAAATTTAAATTTCCATACTATTAATCTTCTATGGAAGTATAATTCTTTTCAACATAATTCTCTGTTTCTCTCATAACCAAATGCCCGTCAAATGCATAGATAATTATTTATGCAATGTAAATATAATATTTATCAAAGTATATATAAGAGAGAGTCGTGGTTATGGTCCTAAAAAGTGAAAATGGTGTCAAGATAAGAGAGATATACTTTGTGCTTCATATTGTGTATTTAAATATTTTTGTTGATAAATGTTGTTACATCTTCCATCCGTTTTCTTTTCAAAAAAAGAAAAAAAAAAAACCAGAAAACTTCCATCCATTTTTAACTATTACTTATATTTATGAAAAGTGATAAAGATATCAATCTATAAAAGGTGGTGCACTTTATGTAGCATATGGTGTATTTTGACATTTTGTTTTTAACTTTTGTTACCTTGCTATACTAATTTAGTCTAAAGGGGCATGAGATATATACATTTGGGTTTAATTAGTGCAATGCTTTATGTTTTAATAATGTAGTATTAATTTGGGAATTGTTGTTTATTAAGCATTACATTTACTAATTACTATATTTGGCATTTATTCGTTGATTGGAAGGTGGAAGCAGCCATGGCTCCACCTTCTTCTGATTTTTTAAAATTGTTTTTTAATTTTTAAAAATAATAATTAAAATATTTTTTATATATAATTTAACATTATGACATCATATTTTATCAGACACAATTATCATTTGTTCAATGGTCTAATTATATACTTTTTTGTTTAATGGTTCAATTGCATAAAATGTAAAAGTTCAGTGACTTATTTGACACTTTTTTCAAAAAAAAAAAAAAATACAATTGACCAATATAAAAGTTACTCCGTACAATATAAGATAATCCTAACAAGTAAATAGTAAGTAAATAGTAATATTTTGAAACCGAAGAAAAATATATCAAAGAATAATATTGGGGATTTGGATATGAGTTAGGCTTCTTGGATGTAAAACACTAGTGTTTGGTATTGAGTGTCAAAATTAGATTAGATCAATGAATTTATTATTAAAAAATAAACTCAATTTGAATTTATGGGGTCAATGAAATAGCTGTTGAATTTATGGGGTCAATGAAATAGGTGGACAATTCCGAGACATTTAAGGGTGTATTTGGTTCGCACATGAAAATCAGAATCGGAATCGAAATCAAATACTTGTTAATGGTAATTAAATTTTGGTGAAAGTAGTTTATATGTTTGGTAGTAGGTGAAATTGGAATGATTACAAAATAGGGTTCTGTATGACCCTATAATGGAAATAAAGGTTTAAAGAATGCAAACAAAAAAATCAAGACAATTAATCTTAATATATAATAACATCCAAAGTACCCATATGAACAAACAAAAATCTAAAAACATTAATTCAAACTTAAAAAGCAAATTACCAATGAGGTTAAATGATATCCGTTTTTAATTAGGGAATAATATTTTTAATTAAATGAATAATCAAATCCATAATTGTGTTTTAAAAAGTTGTCAATCAAACACTAACTATGATTTTGATTATTATTTTGGAATAAGGGTCAAATAGGCCACTCAACTGCGCACTCAATTACAATTAGGCCATCGAATTAAAAAAGAATGCAATTGGGTCCCTAAACAACGCAAACTCATGCAATTCAATTCAAAAATGACATGTTTACCTGGAGAGACGGTTACCGAATTTTAAAATATATTTTTTAATAATTTTAAATAAAAAATTTTTTTAAAAAAATTAAAATAATACGTCATCTCTGCCGGAGACGAAGGGATCTTCGTCTCAGGCCATCTCCCTGGGCGGGGAAACGGCCTGAGACAAAAGTTGCTTCGTCTCAGGCCGTCTCCATGGTCGGGGAGACGGCCCAAGACGAAGCCACCCCTTCGTCTCCGCCGGGGGACGACTTTTTTTTTTTATTTAAAATTAGAAAAAAAATTCAATTTTGGTCCACTGACTATTGCACTTGTGTTAATTGCAACACTTGACCTTCAAAAATGTTAATTTAGTACCTTGACTATGCAATTTCTAACAATTTTGGTCACGCCGGCTAAATCTCATATGAAAAACTTAAACATTTTTTAATTTTTTATTAATGGGGACAAAACAGTCATTTTACGTTTAAAAAAATAAAAATTATTTGCTTCTTCTTCCTCAACACCTCCAGTGCCACATACGCAACACCTCCGCGCTTTGCCATGTGCACGCCACAACTCACGTGTTCGTCGTTCTCTCTGTATCTTTGAACTCAGGCCGGAATGGTGTCGGCGACTAGGAACTCGGAAGCATTCATTCCTTTCCCTTCCCAGCCAAGCCAAATCCCACTCCAACCCAACAGGGAGAAAATAAATCTCAGTACATTGGGCGAAGAATTTAAGGTATTGGGATGTGAGGAGCCGTAAATATTGGGATATTGAATGGGTTTTAGAGGATTTAAGACGGAGAAGGGTTGGGCGCAGGTGGGTGGGTGGGTGTCGTCGCTTCTGTGATCTGAGAGGGAGAGAAGGGTTGGTGGTTTTGGAGTCTGAACCCCAAAACTAAAAAATGACAACTGCGATGCAATAGTTACTGTTTTAAAAAGAATCTGTATGTCAATTTAACGCAATAGGAGAACGAAGGTTGTTGGTCGCCATAAATGGATAAGCTCACCGGAAATGGAGAAGCTCATGGGAGAAGAAAGAAAAAATGAGTAAAATGACGAAATGCCTCCATTAGTTGACCTATTAAAATTTTTCGGTGAGATTTGGCCGGCAATTTGTTCGGCGTGACCAAAATTGATAGAAATTGCATAGTCAAGGTACTAAATTAACATTTTTGAAAGTCAAGTGTTGCAATTAACACAAGTGCAATAGTTAATGAACCAAAATTGAAATTTCCTCTTAAAATTATTTAAAAAAATATTTTAAAAAATTCGGTAACCACCTTTCCAGGTAAACAAGTTAATTTGAATTGAATTGCATGCATTCACGTTGTTCAGGGACTCAATTACATTCTTTTTGAGATTGATGGCTCAATTGCAATTTGGTGCACAATTGAGTGGTCTATTTAACCCTTATTCCTATTATTTTTAGGAATTAATTTTACTTTTGGTCCCACGACCTTTGATGTTCTATCACTTTTGGTGCACAACTTTAAAATTTTTTAATTTTGGTGTCTAACTTTGTTATTTTTATTAATTTTGGTCCTTTCGGCCAAATTGACAGCGAAATGTTGCTGGATTTTATATTGTTAGGGGTAAAATCGTCATCCCAAGGAAACATCTTCAATATCTAAACAAAATCACCGTAAAATCATATCTATAGGTGTTTGATTATGAGCAGAAACCAGACAGATCTATGGGATTTATAGTTTCGACCATTGACAAACTCTTCTTTTCCTCTTAATATGATTTTTTTTTTGTTTAAATATTGAAGATCTTTTCATGGGATGACGATTTTGTCCCTAAAATATAAAATTTGGAAATATTTTACCGTCAATTTGGCTAGAAGGACCTAAATTGATATAAATAACAAAGTTAGGCACCAAAATTAAAAAAATTTAAAGTTGTGCACCAAAAGTGATAAGAACTCAAAAGTCGTGGGACCAAAAGTGAAATTAATTCTTATTTTTAGTGTGGAATCCATGAACCAAATACACCCTAATTTATAAAAAAAAATTGAAAAAGGTAAAAAAGAATATTGGGTCATCGTAATCTCTGCAACAAGGAACTTCGGTCTGCCAGCTACAATCCTTGCCGAACAACAACACTTCTCAACTTCTCAGCTTTTATTTTGTTTTCTCTCTCTAAGCTTCGGAGGAGAGAGCCTGCGGTGGCCGCAGCCTGACCTAATAGGTATGAAAATTTCAACACCAATCGCTTTTTCTTTTTGTGATTTTTTATTTTTTATTTTTGTTGGGAACAATATACAATTTCCAATTTCTAGACCTAGATTTGTATACGGAGTATTTTATTTACTGTAGGATTGATGATTTATTGTGTACAATTGAAGTGCCGGAATGTTTACGGAAAATCTGTTGCTCTTTGTTTGTGTTTGTGAAATTTCGTGCATGAAATTGCCTGGCATATAATCGTATGCGTTGATCGAGGAATGGAGTTCAGTTGCTGATATGAGCTGAACTGAGTTGTGAAATCTGTCATAAGAATGCTGTTTTGACACGATTCCTTTTTGCTGTGCTTGACTAGTTTAATTTAGGAATATTTATGAAGCACCAAGTTATCAACAAGTGGAGATTTTGTTGGTGGATTGTTTGCTTAACCTTGCTTGAGCTCCATGAATGAGTTCAAAGAGAAATCATATGGCTTCTGTTTTCTTATTGTTATCTCAAATGCCAATATGCCAATCTCTCTCCTGTTGAAAGTATAGCCCTGGCTTCACACCTGTAAAAACTTCTCAGAAATAGTGGTGAGTTTGTTGGCATCTTCCTTTGCTAGACCTATGTACAGAAGCCTTGCCATAGAGCCTGACCTTTTATTTCAACTTGCCAATCTTGTTTGATGGGTATGATGTTAATGCCATTCGATGCGGAACAAGAGTATGACAAGAAAGAAAGCAAGAATTTTCATGGAGCTGGACTAAGGGATTATTTTTCAAGATATAAACTGAAATAAGATATTCCTGAAACAAGACATGATCTGTGTTCAAGTAACAAGTTTGGTTTTGCCAGCTCATGAAAGGAGTTGGGTGGCTCCAATTATGGGCAAAAACATGTTGTCAAAAGATATTTTCTTCTATTCCAAAGTTCCTCTTTTTCTAATGCGATGTTTGGTCTGTTTGCCTCTTTACTTTTCACTCTAAAAAATGCATAAAAATTATAATCAGCTTGACTGAGACCGATGGCCAAGGTTGTCTATCTTGTTGCAACATCAATGTTTAGTCATTTACCCATGACAAAATATATCATTGAAATGAGTGTATGCAGTGTCAGGGTTTCATCCAAATTCTTGAATATCTGTTCTCTTTACTACTCTAGTCTTTTTTCTCCACACCCTAGCTTAAGTGATTCTTCTCATCCATGTCTTAATGAATTGCTAATTTTGCTATTGGTACAAGAAACTAGGTGTGCATGGTGGTTCATTTGTTTGAGAAATATTTATTTTGACAAGGTGTGTAATTTTTACGATACATATGATTCATGACTTGTGTGAAAAGTTAAACAGGCTTTTTATGGTTATGATGAGTGGGACTACTATTGTACTGAAATTGCTTATTTCACCTTTTCCTGTCAGTTGATTGTCTTCTATTACCCTAAATATGCTTGGTTATCTTCTTGCAGTGATACTTTAGATGGCAGGAAGGAACCGTGTTCATCGGGAACTTGACCGCCATCGTGGTCACCTTGTAGAAGGGCCTCTTGTCCGCGGTCCTATACCCCGGAATATGCCTAATCATCATGCTTTATTAGAGGAAGAACTTGAAATGCGGCATGTTGATATTCGCAGGCTTTTGGGTGAAAATCGGAGACTGGTTGAAGACCGAATTACTCTGCAGCAGGAGTTGGGTGCTGCTAAGGAGGAGCTACATCGCATGAACCTTGTTGTGGCTGATATTCAGGCTGAACATGAGCTCCATTCCAGGGAACTTATAGAAAAGGGTCTAAAGTTGGAAGCTGATCTTCGAGCCATTGAACCCCTGAAAAATGAGGCCAGTCAACTAAGGACCGAAGTTCAAAGGCTGCATGGCATAAAGAAGGATCTCCAAGGGCAGGTGCAGACACTAACAAAAGACATTTCCAAATTGCGAGCTGAAAACCAACAGATTCCACTTTTAAGGGTGGAGATTGACGGATTACATCAGGAGCTTTTTCATGCTAGGTTTCTGCCTTCACTTAGCTTACTTTCTATTTGCAACCAACAAAGAAAACGACCTTTAGTTTTTCTAGAAGACATTGTATAATTATCAGAAGGCATGTGAACTTCAATAAATAAATAAATTTGACATGCAGATCTGCTGTTGAATATGAAAAGAAGGCAAAAATTGAACTAATGGACCAGAGACAGGGGATGGAGAAAAACTTGGCGTCAATGGCACACGAAGTGGATAAGCTACGTTCTGAGCTTGCAAATTCTGAGGGTAGATCTTGGGTTCCCGGTTAGTTAGTTGCTTCCTTTATTAATTTTCATTTCTTTTAAGCTTTTATGCACCTTAATTGAGAAAGTTCAGTATTTTTGGGTTATGGAGGATATGAAATGCTTGAGTTAGACTTGTGATTCTTAAATATGAGAAAAATTTTGGAAAACAGTATCCACTTTCCATCCTATAACTGATAAGCCTTTTGTTGTGGTTTAATGTAGTGAAAGAGACCATGCTGCTTGTATAATCTATTCCTTAAACTGATTTACTTTGGTTACAATTCCAGTGTCAATGAAATAGTAACAATAAATAGAAGTGAAATAGACCAGGTAATTTGAATTTATAGTCCTAAAAGAAAAGAGGAGCATTCATATACTTTCTGATGGTGGCTAGCTTATTTTCTTCATAATACACCCCCATCTCCTTTTTATTGGCTCCTATGATCAGACATACAGTTTAAGAAACTCCAGTCATTGCATTTATATCTTTCCCTTTTTTGATAAATTATTCCAATAGTACCCTTGCTTTTGCATTTAATGCATACTATCTTGTTTACTATTGAAGCCATTTTGAGCAATGTAGCATTATGCATAGTTATCACGGCGTCGCCTTGGCGTCCTGTCGGTGGAGACACGACGCCTGGAGGCTTCGCCTCGCCTGAAAATGGTGAGGCGAGCTCCGGCGTCGCCTAGGCATCCTAGACGACGCCGATTCGGCATCCAAACCCATAAACCCTACCCATTTAAACTTTATTTTTTTAAAAAAATGGTATGACTGCGTCGGCAACTTCCCTCGAACTGACAGAGAAGAAGAAAGCCAACCCAGTGACCCACAGCCACCGCCGTCCCATCGGCGTCGCCCTCCCACCGCCGTGAGTCGTCATTGGTGCTTCTTTCTTCTTCTTTTCTCTTCTTCATTCTTCTCCCACCGCCGTCGTCAACTGTCATTCTTGATTTTTTTCTTCTTTTTCCTTCTTTCTTTCTTCTTGGCTTCTTCGATCAGTCTTATTTACTTTACTCCTAGGAAGTTGTAGCCTTGAGAAAAGGAATAGTCTGCAGCTACAACTTCCTAGAGTATAATAAATAAGGCTGCCTTTTCCACTGCCTATTTCCAACCAAATATATATATATATATATATATATATATATATATATATATATATATATATATATATATATATATATATATATATATATATATATATATATATATATATATATATATATATATATATATATATATATATATTAATCATCGCCTAGGCTACAAGGCGGTCGGGGAGCGCCGCGACTTAATAGGGCGCCGTGATAACTATGTCTTTATGTCTTTTGAAATTTCATTGTGGCCAATAAAAATGGGACTGCAGATCTAGTATTTAGATGAATGAAAAGTTGTGTTCTTTGGATATTTAGTAACCGCAAGTATCTAGTGTAAAGTAAATCTCTAGGCACAAAATTTGCACCCTGACTTGGAAGGTAGCCTTTTTATGCATCTTGATTAATCATCGATGTATGCCAGCTATTATCATTTTTGGGTTTTGCTGTTAGAACTTTGTAGGAGAATGAGGCACTGCAGTCACACTGTTTCATGTGATTTCTTTTCACATACTCTTTGAGATGTTATAGATGAGGAGAATTGTTTTTTTTTTTTCCTCTCTCATTTGCTATGATCAACTACAGTACTTACTGTCATGAAAAAAAACTGCATTCTAATTTTGGATATTGAAAATGCTTACAAAAGTTCTCCCCCTTCGTTTATAACTCTTGAACAATGGAAAAAAACTACAATTATATACACCTGGTTATGAAACCTTGTTTTTGTTGCAAGTACAGGATTATATGCTTCTAGCTACCAAGCATGTTGTGTAATTGAATCATTGTAGGACAATGTATTTGGCACCAATATTAAACTATTCATAGTTCTTCTCCTTTGCTGTGTATGTTAACATACTATGTCTGGATGTGAAAGGTGGACCGTACTCAATAAATTTCGGCACTCCTGATAGCAACTTCCCTGCACCCTATGGTGAGGGATACGGGGGTCATCTGGTATGGATATTTAACTAAGCAGTGTTTTATTCTAGACATCATTAGACAAATTCATTGGGTGCTTATATATTATTGGATGTTGATGTTCATGCATTATTCTCAGGGTGCTGCCAACAAGGGCCCTTTATATGGTGCTGGCTCAGCTTCATGGGGAGGACCTGAGAAACCTCGAATGTCTCGCCGTTGAATTGTTCAGATCCTGTAGTGTGCTGTCCTGTATAAACTGGAGCAAGGAGTGTCTGATGTCTTCCATTTGTGCGTAAACGATCTTATGTCAGCTCTCTTCCCAGTTGTCCTTGAAGATAATTGGTTATGTTTACTTGTATATGGGCATTAAGGTTACTCTTTCTGAACTAATGGGGTATGGTTGTTCTCTTATTTGCCTAAAACTATAATTTAGCTGCATACTGGTCTTATTTATAAATATAAGCATGTTCTATTTCCCCCCTTTTTTGTTACATTTACTTAATTATATAGATATCAATTTTCTTTGGAAGTTGTCGGTCCTGACTTCAGAGTAATAGGTATTATTGCTGGATTAATGCTTCACAAGTATTTGTTAAGGAGATGCTGAAGTATTCTGGCATAGAAGATTATAAGTCTTTGATTGCCAATCTGCCTGTTAAAAATAGGTATTATAGATTTATAGGATATATAGTTGAATGCACTTACTGTGCAAATAATTAAGGAAAGCTCAGGATGTTGCTTAGGAGACACTATGTATTGTTGTTTTCTTGATTTTGTTGCTGGACCTATTATCTAATGATACATCCTTGGGTTGTCATAAATGTTTTAGCCTAATAGGGAACTTCTAGGATTCATGACCTCAATTTATTTATTTATTTTTGTAAATCTTTCTTAACTTGGTCACTTCTTACCAATTTCTTATGGGCAGAGCAAACAAAGTACATTTGCCAAGTAAATGAGTATATCGGGGCAAATGTTTAGGACGCGCATTATGTTGATAGGAGCCCAACAAGATACTATAGATGCCTTGAGAAGATTAAGTTTCTTTAGTTCTTGGATGTAGTTTATATTTTCAGGGTTCATGACATCCATTAGATCATGCTCTAGTGCTCTACATTTTCTAACATTGCACAGTCATCTGTTCTGAAGGTGGGATGAACTAAATAATTTATGAGGATGGAGATATGATTTGCTTCTTTCCAAATGCATACATTTTGTTGGTGGAAGATAGGTGATATTAATAATTGAGGAGTAGGGATCACAAGTAAGATCATGATTAAGATTTTAAAACTAGGAGGTGTGACACTATAGGTTGTTTATTTATATTTATTGGACAGGCTTCTAGTTGTTTTGGGTTGGGTGTGTAGATCCTCCTATAGTTATATGTGTAGGATGATTCAAGGTGTGTTGTGATGATCAATGAATCTCCTTTAATAATGTGCCTATGCACTTTAGAGAGCGCTGGATGTTAATTGCTGTACCCCTACTTTGGTTCACCTGAATTTGAGGATTGCAGCTTGAGATGTTTGTCCTATTAGTTCGTGCTTCCGGGATTGGATATGCAGCTGCCTTGCCCTATGTCTTAATTGTTTGGACGAGAAATGTATTTAGCCTACCAATTCACGTGACTGTCATATTGCTGGGTAATCAAGATACCTGGGTGTCATCCATTTGTAAATGAGTTGCTTATTATACACTCAAATGGTCCCAGAACATCTGAAGGAAAGGCAGTGGACATACCAAATCAGTGGGCTGCAACCAACGAATGCCATAGGCAAGTATCCTGTTTTTGTTATGTGGCTTTAATGGCCCTCTAACCTTTTGAGTTGGATACTGTACTTTATGTTCTCTCTCTGCTTTTCTTTCTTCTTTTTATTTTTTCACGTACATTTATATAAGGTAGGTATATATTTAGTTTTCGATCTTTGCTACCTTCTCCATGATTCTTCCTTGATATGCTTACATGGGTGGTGAAGTATTTTCTGCTTGGATTCTAGTTCACTATTAGAGCTGTATGCAATGGAAAATCTTATACCTTGCATCATCCTCTAATGATACCATTTTTCTGTCTTGCGTTTATATTCCTGTGTGGATATTCCTTTGATTATCAAGATCCATGGTTCGCTGATTGAACTTTTGTAGTTGTATTTGTTGGGGCAAGGAGGTACAGACTGATTTTTTCATAATTCCGTTGCCATTGGATAGATATCATAGTTGTAGTGATTTCTTGGACTTTTGTTGGTATTATAGCTTCAATTTCCAGTGACTTGGATTTTGGAATACATCCTGCTATTGGAGATAATTTTTGTCCTTTATTTGGTATTAAATCCAGAAATTCTGCTGGGAGTGTGGGACTGTTAGGCTGTTCTCATAAATTTTCTTGATACCTGAATTATAGTTGGTTGACCTATATCAAGTGACAGAAAGAAATGCAGATGATTAGCAATTGGATGTTATGGTTGGTTAGTCATGCCTATTATACATCACCTTGGAGAAAGAGTTGAAGTTGTGGACTGAAATTTTACTTGGATCAAAGTGATTAAGAAAGATGTGATAACTCAAGGGCTCATGACAGGCTTAGTGCTTATTAGAAATAGAATCCATGATGTGTATCCAGCTAGATAGTGATAATTCCTTAATGGAGTTGAGTATATTGTAACTGGTCTCCAAGGAATATGAATATATCTTGGCCACTGAATGCCATTTTTTTCTTTTTGACTAGACTGGGCTTTCAACTGAGAATTGAGTTGGTAATGGACACTTAACTTCTCATTTCCTTATTTATGTTGACTGCAAGACTGGCTGGACTCAGTTTTGCTTCATGCTTAGTATTTCTGGTAGCACTCTCTTGGGAGTAAGCTTATTTATTTTTCTGTTGGCTTTGAAGGTGTGCTATTTATTGGTCAAATTAGAACAGTTTGATTACCAAAGAATGTTTTTCTTATACCAAAGGATTTAGACTTACAAACTTAAAGTTCTATCTGTGGTCATTGATATGTGATTTGAATTGGGTAGGCCGCGCCAATTCTTTGGAGGGAGTTCAAATGTCTATGTTTGCTTCAAAAGTTTTCTATCATTGTAAGATTCCTTTATCATCATAGACATATGATGTTGGAGATACAACCCTATCCCTGGACTGTCCAGCTTAAATGAATGATGTTATTTTGGAGGGGTTTTGATCTTAGAAGACAAGTGAATTTCAGGTCTTTGTTAAGCTTAACAATTTTTTTAATGATAGAGAGTAAAAGTTAGAAGGTAATAATTTATGCCTAGCCGGTATGTGACTGGGGTGCTGGAGTTGCTATAGCATATATTCTTGGCATGGCTTGTAAGTGACGAGTCACAGAGGCTCTTCATTTCTGTCTACTGATATTAGGTGGTTCAATCATGGCTGCAGTATGTTTAATTGTTTTTTTTCTTGTCTGGAGTTTTGACTTCTTATGCCCTGTATTATCATGCTAGTTTAATCAGTATAATTTTTGTGGGTGTTTTGTTAATTATCATAATTGCACCATTCTTCTCTTTCTCTAATAGTATTTTCCTAATCCTTTTTTGCAGATCTAACAGAATTGGCTGGTTTACCTGATTGGACCAACTTAATTTTAAAATGTCCGAGGAGATTCTTGAGGTGAAGTTGGAGATTACAAAAGCTGATAAGGTATTTTTTGAGGTGGCTCTTTTGAAATCTTGGGCTGCAGGTGGAAATAATCTTTCGAATGTGACTTAGACAAATGGATTGAGATGGGTCTGGGCATTTTTCAGGTTGAAGGTTGGGTCAATTGATTATTAGTAACAAGCACTCTCGTTAGAACCATTTTGTTCAAATTATGCAGTCACACTTGAGAAGCATTGCCTACACTTTTGTAAGTCATCCTTGTTGAGGTTCTGATTTTGCCCCCTACATATGGCATTGTGGTTTTTTGTAAGTCATCCTTGTTGAGGTTCTGATTTTGCCCCCTACATATAGCATTGTGGTTTGGTTAGGCAAGAACTTACCGGCTTCAGGAAGTTAGAGAAGTGCCGAGTCCCAGCCACCAATTCAAGTGCTTCAGAAAGATCAAGTGGTTGATCATGAAATTTGACGAGACTTGCTCTTGAAATGTTTGATCTGATCAGAGTGTAATCTTACTTGGTTTTAAGTTATCATCTCTGGTGTGGATGTTTTGCAGTCCACACGTTTGATTGAGCTCCAGTCCAGTGTCAACTTGACTAGGGTGTGAGAGATGGCTCAGTACTATGCAGCTATACTACAGGCAGACATTTATCAGTTTCTTTTGGTTAACTGTGAGGAGATAGGCTGCGGTTTTAGGGAAGAAGCAATTGAAAAGACTGAAATACCCTTTAGATTGAGTATCAAAAGTGGCAGAAAATAACAACTTGAAGGATTAGAAATGTTCGATTTGAAAGGGTGATTTACAAAAGTGGCATATTTCTCAATACTTGGAGGGAGGATCAAAATTGGTATTAATTCAACTAAATAAATACGCGATCCCCTTCCCTTTAGCAACACTTGAGCTTGATTTTAACTCCTCTTGAGCTAAAGAAATACCAATATACCATTAAGAATGTTAATCGTATTGAGTCAGTTTGAACCACTTCATTTTAGGACTAAGGTTTCTCCGTTTTTAATTTTTGTATTCTCTTCAGTGGTAAAATGGTTCCCATTTCACCTGTTGAGATAGATTGGACTAACTAATTAAAACACAAATTTTTGTTTATTCTTTGTTATATTTTATTGCTTCATATTTGTCACTATTCTTTTCTGGGTTGCAAATGATCACAACCTTAATAATTTAGTATCAATATTTTATTGTTATTCAGGGTTACAAATAACCCTTGCTCAAAATGTTTGAGGGTTACGATCCAAAAATTTATTAAATTATAATGTTTATTCATATTACATTTTATTTTTATGAACATATATATAAAGAAAATTATATATCTACTACAAAATAAATGAAAATAGATATGATGTATGCATAATTTAGTGTTTATATCAAATAGTATGAACATGATGAGTGGTGTTATTAAACATGATGCATATGTTATGTAATTTTATGTACATTAAACTTTGTTATTATGAACATATCGAAAAAAATATTATGAACTTACTACTGAATGAATGAAAATATATGTGATGTACTTATAATTTAGTGTTTATGTAAATTAAAATTTGGATTTATGATAATATAGAATAAAAATTATGAACATAGTGTAAAATAAATGTTACTCTATTTGTTCTATTTTATCTGTCCTACTTACTATTGATTGGTCAAACCAACTCTTTCTTCTTTACTTATTTGTATTAGCATTCTCTTATGATTTTTAAATTTAATTTTTTGGTGTTTAATAGTACTCTTAATGTAGTTTCCAAGTATATAAATTTTACACACTAATTTTAAACTTAATATTATGAAAAATTAAATTGTAAATAACTTCAATAAAACCTCGTTAACCGAACCCAACACATAAAATGAGATAGAGGGACCATTAAACATTACGCGTTTGTAGTGTAATGTTTATGTACATTAGTATTCGTTTTTATGAACCTATAGAATGAACATTATGAATATATTACGGAATAAATGAAAATACATATGATGTATATTTAGTTTAATATTTATGCACATTAATATTTAGGTTTATGAACATATATAACAGATATTATACATTAGTACAAGATAATGTTATTAAACATGATGCACTAGTTAATATTTAATATAAAATGAAATCATTTTGAATCAAAATTTACCATAAAACAATATAATTTGCCTAATGAATCACCCAATTTAAAATTCTTTTAATTTCTTTTGCCACTTTGTGAAGTGGCAATTTATATCATCGACCAGGGTTCACAATGTTAAAATAATGAAGTATAGAATTTCATAACACAAGACAAAAAAAAAAATCACAACACAAAACACATGCACATGTTATGTATTTACTTATTTTTTAAATATGATTTAGGTATAAAATTTGTGTTTATATGCACAAAATTTCACAAAATAAGACAAAAATTCATAACATATGACACCATTACTAATTTGTTATACAGTTACTAATTTTTTTTAAGCACAAAATTTGATAACATAAGACACAATTACTAATTTGTTTCGATATATACATGTATCAAGATTTACAGTATATGTTATAAAAATTTTTTGTGACTATGAACACAAATTTTGTGAAGTATTATCCCACAAGAACAAAATTTAATATAACGTGTGTAATTGCTAATTGATTGAAGAAATATGTGGTAACAAAATACGGGTCGGGCGACACTGCTGACTGAACCTTATTTATATCGATGACAAAAAAATTGGAGAGTCTCAACTCTTGAGTCTTGACCTAGATACCTGTAGTACACATTTACACGATATTCTCTTCTGGATTCAAGGGAACCAAGATTCGGCAGTGTAATCTCCAATAGCGGAAGGAATACGTTTATATATCTTCTGTGAATTCTGTATATGTGATGTGAAGAAGAGCCGTAGTAGTAGTATGCAGGGGAGCTCTGTAATTTCACGTAAAGTTTCTCACTTTTTTCGAGTTTCTCATCACTCCACTCCACCACATTCCCATCGTTTCTCTTCCAACGCTTCCGAATTGCGCCCATGCCCTAAAACCCTTCCTTGTATTCGTGTTCCCAAACCTTCTCATCACGCCCATACAAGAGACTTAGTTCTATTCAAGGTATCCCTTGCTTTTTCTTTAATTTTCAACTTTTTTAGTCTCAATACTGGTATAATACTTCTTTATTTCCCCCCTTATTTGAAGTAACTATGGTAATTGGATATTTTTTGAATACCCAAATTTTCAAATTGGTTGTTTTCTTATTGTGTCTGTCAATTTGCTACTTTGTTGGTATCGTAAATTCTTAAAGAAAAGGATTTTCTTAACTGGGATGATGGGGAAAATGTGTTTATAAGTGAAGTTTATCATTTGTGAATTGGTTTGTTCTATGTGTTTGTTTTGTAAATTAGGGTTGACTGAGTATGGTGTGATGATAATAGTGGCCAAGTCTGAAAGAAATAGTGGTGGTTTTAAGTTGAGTGTTAACCTTAATCCTTGCTAAAATGTTGAGTGCAAAGGAACTTTGTTTGGAAAATTCTTCTTTTCGTTTCTATAGGGATAATGGGATATGCTTCTATTGGAAAAAAAAAAAGTTCAAATAAAGATTAAGAATTGCAGGCTTCTTGCATCTGGGCTGAATCTGAGTACACATGTGTATAAAAGTATGTCTTTTTGTAAAGGTGGAGAAATATTGTTGCTTACTTTGGGTGTTAGGTACGAGCAACTGCGGCTGAAACTGAGCAGCCAAAATGGTGGGAGAAGAGTGCCCCGAATATGGTTGACATCAATTCTACGGAAGGCTTTTTAGATGCTTTAAGTAATGCTGGTGATAGATTAGTCATCGTTGACTTCTATGGTACGTGGTGTGCTTCTTGTCGAGCATTATTCCCCAAGGTGAGTTCTTTCTTTGGTTGTAAACGTAAAGCTATAAATTACACGTTGTTTTACCTTTTATCTAAACGTAAAGCTATAAAATTTTGAAAGTATTATGCTGCTGAGCTTCTAAATAAATGCTTTTTTCATATTTCGTGTTGATCAGCTCTGCAAGATTGCTGAAGGACACCCAGAAATTCTTTTCTTAAAGGTGAATTTTGATGAGAACAAGTCCTTATGCAAAAGCTTAAATGTTAAAGTACTTCCATTTTTCCAGTTCTATAGAGGAGCAAATGGCCTGTTGGATTCGTTTTCTTGCTCTCTTGCCAAGGTACAACCTTTTTTATGATCCCGTATTCTTTATCTTCTTACTTCCAAGAATCCTTACCAATCAGTAGACCCGTGACCGTATCAGATATAGACCTGTGACATTGTGTGAATTAAAACGGTGATATATCATATATGCTTCCATCGTACTGTTAAGCTTGAATTGATAGGCTGGTCACGAAAATTAGAGCTGTCAAAGCAGGCCGCCATAAAATTCAAAGCTCGCCCTGCCATTTTTGCGGGGCAGGATGGGTTAAGCATGTTTTGACGTCGAAGGTTACTTGAAACAGCAAAGGGCACTGCCCCGACTGTGGCAAGACTGTCCTTAGTACATAAAATGGGCGCTTCCCATGATTAACCGGTTTCCAAAATACACTGTGCAGCTCCAGAAATTAAGGGATGCAATTGCAACCCACAATCCGGGGAGTTCTGGTGATGGAAGTCCCAAGTTGAGTGAAATGTCTGGGTCTCCATATGACAGGCCATCTGGATCTACTTCAACGTAGAATCATCATCGCCGAATTACCTTGCAGAATACTGGATTTAGAGCTACAGAGAAGATGAGGTTTGGTTGTGTTGATTCTTTGTAAAGAGTGTTCTCACATCATTGCTGCAATATCCATTTATATAGGGAGAAGTATTGACAAGTGTGAAGTGTGTAAATTTCAATCATTCGTGAATTGTGGCTAATGATTTTCTTGTAAGATAAAAGCTCTACTCTTTAAGGAAATTCTCTACATTGTTTCGTAGCGTTTATGCTTGTGTACTCAAATTGTTACATGGATCAAAGTTCTTTCGCCTAGGGTTCGATTGAAACTCTAGTAAGATAAGAACTGTGTATATAAGAAATTTGGTCGGAAGATGGGGATTGAAGGAATGAAACTCTCACGGGAAGAAGAAAGAAGTTTAAGGTGCCATATCAACTGGTCAACATTAAAATTAATCACGTCAACAAAAAAAAGCTCCACATCAGCTAACAACCGGTGCCATGTCATTTGTTACCTGAAAACTTGTGAAAAGTTCTAGATGGAAAACAATAATTGGTAAGTGGATCGAAATAAATGATATAAAAGTTCAGGATGCAGCATGAAGAATCCGTTATATGTTAATTATTAATTATATAATATTTTATAATTATATATTTTAAATAATAATTTATTATTAATATTCATGGTTGAAAAAATCGTTAGGTGGTGATTAATTGGTGCCTAGCCCGTGTATTTTTTTATTTTATTTTTATTTTAAAAAAATTATTTAAATTTATTTAATTTTTTAAGACTTGATAATTATAAATTATTGAATAGTTAAATATTAAATATTAACTTAAAAACATTGAGAATTTGAACAATTTAGGGTTATTTTAGTCGAAATAATATCGTTTTGAGTGAAAATAACCCATTTAAAAAGGATGGAATAATAGCTAATCGGCCGACTAGGCAACCTAGAAGGCATAGTCAGCGCCTACGAGGCCTAGGCGGTCAGCACTTAGGCGGTCTAGTCGACTAGCCGCCTAGACCACCGATTATTGTGATATGCTAGGCGGTCAGCACTTAGGCAGTCTAGTCGACTAGCTGCCTAGAGCATCGATTATTGTGATATGCTAGGCGGTCAGCACTTAGGCGGTCTAGTCGACTAGCTGCTTAGACCACCGATTATTGTGATATGCTAGGCGGTCAACACTTAGGCGGTCAGCACTTAGGCGGTCTAGTCGACTAGCCGCCTAGACCACCGATTATTGTGATATGCTAGGCGGTCAGCGAACGTGTAACGCCTAAGCGCTGATTAATCGGTGCTTAAGCAGGATTTTTTCAACATTGTAAATATTTATAATTTTTTATATAAATATAATTAAAAGGAAAAGTAAAAAGATGGAGCAAGAGACTCCCTTGAAAGGGAAGCCTCATGCTCAATTTGCCAAGTGCCATTACGGAAACAAAATTAGATTTGGCAAACTGCCAAACCTAAACACCGCAAATTGTTGCATTTGAGAAGTTGGTGATTTGTCATTAAACCGTTGTCTAAATCCATCGTTAATCAAACAATATTTTTAGCGTTTTGACAAAGTCAAACCGCTAAAATAATCAAATTTGTCAAAATTTAGTTCATAGGACCATGATCCTAGAACCATGGTAAAAGCACAATCGCAAAGTTAAAGTTCTAGTACTCCCTTCGTCCTATTTTATGTGCCTGGTTTGTTAACGAAAAGTTATTTTGAATTTAATTTTTGTTAGGGTTAGTATACAAAATTTATATATCTGAAAATTATACTAAAAGTACTATTAAACACAATAAATTAAATTTAAAATAACTAGAAAATAAATAAAGATGAAAGAATCGATTTGCAAATATGAGAAATAAAAGAGGAAATTGAAGAGAGAGAATGAGGTGATGGAAGGGAAGAACTAAGAAAAATATGAGAAATAAGAGAGGAAATTGAAGAGAGAGAATGAGGTGATGGAAGGGAACTAAGAAAGTAAGAAGCATGGGGTCTTCTAAGAAAAGCAATTGTGAATGAATATTAAATTTAGTAATTGAATTTCGAAGGAAATGAACAGTCATGGTTGGAAAACATTCAAAGGCTAAGGCTCTAAGTGAGTACTCATTTAATGTTCATTTCACTTGAGTGTCTCACTTGGCTAGTTTTCTCTTCTTCTCCTTTTATACATCAACTCACTTTAGAAGGCTTGAAGTATTATGGAGAGGAAATAAGGAGAAAATTCAGTTTACCTACCGCCATTCGCTTGGCACGGCACATGTACGAGGTGTGGTTAAAGTTTTGTTGCTCGGTCAATGCCACTCACATTCTATGCGTTGAACGTGTGCTGCAAGAAGCTGTTATATTGATACAGTATATGAGCTGCGTTATATCTGTGCTATCAGTCGAAGACATTACGATATCCCTGATCGTTAAATGTTTTTAAGACAGTGTTCATAAACACGCCACAGAATCACTTCCATTCCTAAATCAAACTTTACAGAATCACTTTTATTCCTAAATCGAACTTTTGAGTGCTACGTACATCGCTAACTTCCGTTCCAGGTAATCATTGTTGTTGCTGCGCACAACAATCACATGGCAACGTGCAAATTTCAATGGGAATTAAAAGTTATCAATATCATCACATGACAACGTGCAAATTTTTTATTTTTTTTAAATTGTCTAATTTTCTTTGTTTCTTAAAAATTCATGTTAAAAAAAAATACATTTCAAAATTGAGAAAGTATTGACAATTATACCATTAAATAATATAATTTCACAAATTTCCAAATTCAACCAAACAATCAGTGTTTAAATAACATATTATTATGCTCTAACTTATAATATAGTCTCAAAAATAGTCTATATATATATATATATATATATATATATATATATATATATATATATATATTCCATATTTAGTATTATCTTTATTAAAAATAAAAATGCCTCTTCTTGGAAATTGGAATATAGCCACTATTTTCCTCATTTACTTATTCTCCCAAAAGATCAAATCTCAACTTCAATAGACATTATACCCGACCCGGTAGAACATTTAAAAAGATGTAAATTATGATAACTCAGTAGTTTAGCAAACAAGAACAAATATCAGTATGCACAGACTTTTAGACATAATCCTCATACTGCTGTCACCCTCAAAATTTGAACATTGATTTCTTCTTGTTGTAAACTTTCTTTGCATGTTTCATTAAAATCAGGAAAAGTAAAACCAACACTTTGTGAAGATGTTGAAAACTAGTGTAGTCCATTTACCAGTTTTCTTGATCCGACCAAAAAACTATATAATATAATTTTCCACCTGAATGGATAGCAAAGAAATGAAAGGTGTATTTGAGTGGAATTATACAAAACATGACTACTACTACCATCACTTCTATACACAAACAAAACTTCCTGCTGCTTACTTCTTCATACTGCAATAAGATCATCTACTACCATCCCGGTTAGGGTTCCTCCTTTTGTCAAATGAGAGTTTAGGATTAAATCCATCGAGCACCTCGTCGAGCATTGGGCCGCTATATCTCTGATATTTGGGCGATGAATCTGACCACATCATCCTCCCGCTCCGGCTACCCACATCATACCCTGGCGTCGACATGTAACCCGAATCCATTATGAGGTCCCCTTCCAGAATCCTAAGCACCTTCATCATTCATCATACAATAAAATGAATCAGACACAAGAATCCCATCTCGGTTTTCGAAACAATCAGGTTCTCTTTAGTATAGTTAGCAGGGATTTATTGCAACTTGTAAGCAACTATCCAGTGCTGAGATTATCTTTTTCTCCCAAAGAGTATATTCGCCAAGGCGGAGATTATTTTGTCTCATATAGGGATTAGGAATATGAGTCTAAACTCAACAATAGTAAAAAGAATAATCACACATTGGGTGTTACTCCCACACAGGCTCAATCATACATCCTTACCCATAATTTGCCACCCAAGAACTAACTGAGCTACCCTCGCAATCAAGCAACTTACGGGATTGTCAACTATTACGACTAATATAAATTCTCAAGTTATAGCCCGTGCATATATAGTTCCAACATAACTATGATAGGTTGCTTACCTGAGAGGTTCGAGGCCTTGCCTGAGGATCCCGCCTTATGCACAAGGATGCAGCATGCAACATGCAATAAACTTCATGTTCGTTGTAGCAGTTCTGTATTCGGGGATCTATTAATTCTTCAATGGCATAATCTTCCAACAAAGGGCGTGCCTGTAAACAAGTCGAAGACGAGGGTAAGTAAGAGTGCTGAAAAGGTAAAGTAATCCCATTCCCGTATTTGGTAAGGTGTGCCATAGAGAGTCAGAAACAGACCCATTCCACGAGACACTGCTGGCCCTTGGGTCTGTTTAGATCCACCGCTTTCCGACCAGTTACGAGCTCTAGAAGTACCACCCCGAACGAGTAAACATCCGCTTTTTCCGTAATCTGGCCACTTTGAGTATACTCGGGAGCCAAGTACCTAAACAATGCATTATAGTAGTGTTACTCATGTATACATTATACATAAATAGTTCGCATTGGCATCGACAAACACTTTGAAGCACATACCCAAATGTTCCAATTACTCGTGTTTCTACTCCCGTGTCTCCATCAGGTTGCCACCTGGCTAAGCCAAAGTCTCCAACCTTTGCACAGATTATTAGATTATTAGAACAACTATTAACGCAAGTATGGAACATCTTAATCAACAAATTGTAGCATTGCACAGACCAGCCAAAAGGATTATTTACAATTCCCACAATCTATTTGCTTAGTTGAAGGCAAACAGGGACTGGGTGTTTGGTAAATGGCTGTTAGCTGATAGCTGATTGAGTTAGTAGGTTTGACTTGTGATAACATTAGCTGATTGTAGAAAAGTATTTTGGTAAATTAGTTGTTAGCTGATTACATACAAAATGACTTACTTAAAAAGCTACTTTGAGTAGCTTTTGAATTTTAGCATTTAGGAGTTGTTACAAAAAGCTAATTAATCACACTCATGTTGATTATTTAACCAAGTCAAATAGCTAATAATGCCCAAATAAGCCAAAATTGGCTGATAGGCTAACTATTTTACCAAATAGGGCCCTGTCAACAAAATTAGCAAAATAAGAGACTTAGCATACCAGGGGTTCAAAGTCATGGGTGATGAGAATGTTGTTGGGTCGCATGTCTCGGTGCACAATACAGCCCACTCTACATTCCTCGTGAAGATACCGCAAACCTCTTGCAGCTCCAACCGCAATTTTTTGGCGTGCGGACCATTCTAAGGGTTCCCGATTACGCCCTGAAAACGACCCGAAAAGACTATTGTTTAGTTCAAGTTAGCCCAACAATCAAATAGTGGATGTACAAATTAGGAATATTACGTACCATAAAGATGGGAATCTAATGATCCATTGCATATGTATTCATAGACCAACAATCTTCGACTGTCCTCGATACAGAATCCAATCAACATAACAACGTTGCGGTGCTGAGCACAACTAAGAACTTCAACTTCCGAGCAAAACTCCTGATCCCCTTGAGAACTTGCCAATTTATGTTGCTTCACCGCAACTACCTGGCCATCCGGGAGCACTCCTCGATGAACCGATCCATAACCACCCTCGGCCAAGAAGTTAGCTTGAGAAAACCCGCACGTCGCGAGTTCCAGCTCAGCGTAGCTGAACCACCTAGGAGGTTTTCCAAACACGGGCGCTTTGTGTTGACATATAGAACACAACGGAGGAGGACCAAGAGGGGCACTTTTGGATAACGAAACTGCTTCTCGTACGTTTCCACTAAAATCCATATCGGAACGTAAACTCGGTGACCCAAAGCAGCCTTCATCGGAGAACTTTTCGAGCAACCCCTTGGATGTAGAAATTTGTGCGAGTCTACTACACCTCACCGAGCCTTCCTGCTGACTTTGGGAGGGCAGACACTGCTGATTGACAATATCCGACATCCTCGGATGGAACCTTAAACTCGACGAAGTAGACAACTTCTCGTCATCACTCTCCGAGCTTGATTCACTACCACCTTGGACCTCCTTTTTAGCTAACAGCACCTCTTTCTTCAAATCCCTGCTTACTTCAACATTGAAAAACGGAGAAGTCCCGGGATCGGAGCTTGAAACCGACGATGTACCACCCTCGGTGGCAGTAAAAATCTCGGGACTACTTGTCGGAGTAACAAGAGGACCTCGAGTAGAATTTAACGGACCATTCTTGTCTGCTTCACGTTTTTCAGATTGCTCGAGAGATAAGGATGTGGTAGCCTCGGTTCCCTTCTTAGGAGATCCAACTAAATTAAGGCGAAGAACTTTCGGATGAGACCGCTTCATAACAACAATATTGCAGTGCAGTTCTTCCATACATCGTTTTTCCTCGGGTTTCAGCTGTCTGAAACAATGGACATTTAGTTTAAAATATGCAAAAACGAACGATTGTAAAGCATTAACACTTAAATTAAACCGATTACTTGTCCAGGACAACCCAATTTGCATGAATTCTCTTCGCCTCTGCTGCTACAACCCCACATGGTGAACTGGAAACAAGTTTAATCTTCACATTTATCTGGCAGGCAACACAAAGGCCAAAAAAACACCAAATCATTAGCGGAAAAGTGCTATGCAAGCAGTTCTAAGGCCGGAGATCAATAGCATAGATGTAAAAGTTAGACCAACCTTGTTTGGGTCATAAACATCATGGAGTTGAAGGATCATCTGGGAGCATGAATCTGTTATGTCAGATTTCTCTTCAGAGCTAGTTCCTGAGTGTGATTTCTTGTGGCCACTAGCACAATCTCCTGCAAACCTTGGGAACCCCCATTTTCTACCTAGAATATTTTAAAGATTGAAACTTTTCATTAACACTATCAGGAGGATAAGTGCCCAAAGTCCCAAACTAACCAAGAATGTTGCCTTTGACTGAGTTTCAAGCTATAATATCTTTCAGGTATGATGTTTTTTAAAAACCATGATCATATAAATTCATAACCTTAGCCTTTACTACAACAGATCAAGAATCAAGAAATGGAAAGTCACAGGGTTTGCATGCAAAGGTTCAAAAGTAAGAGAGAGAATGAATTACCAGAAGTGTTAGATGGGACAACCACAAGAAGGGTAATGCAATCCCCAGGTTGAACAACATGAGTCAAAGCCCAAACAAGAGCAGTCTTGGGTATCTCCTTTGAGGCCTTCACAGCAACCATTACCTTCTCAGCAACATCACAAACTTTTTCCTGTTTCCCTTTCTTCACTTCTCGAGTCATTAGAGTGCCTTGAAATCTTCAACCCAACCAACTGGCAAAAACATCATATACATAACTCCATTATACCAAAAAAGACATAAGAACCCAAAGAAGCTTTTGCCTGCATATAAGGAACAATAATAAGATAACACAGTAGGATTTATGATGTAGCATACACAATTCAAAATGGGTGATTCTCAAGCATATGCCTAAAAATGGAAGCCAAGTCAACTTCCAAAGAAACACAAGAAAAATCTGTTTTTTTTTTTTGTTTTTTGGAGGGTTGGGAGTTATTTGAAGGTAGTTTTTGAGCTAATAGTGTAGTTTAAAGTATGAGAGATGTAATTACCAAAGGAATCAAGAAAACACAAAAGTGCAGAACATTCCAAATGTAGGAAGAAACAAAGCCCTGTTGAATGGATCTGCAGAGGGGGGCTACTTTTGTTTCAGAGGTTTCTAAATGAATCCAGAGGATTTGACAGAAGCCGAAGCCTTCAAAGTACCAAATATTATAAATAATTACTCAAACGTTGGGCACATGATTTCTGAAACAACACAGAATGGCAAACCACCCTTCCCCTTTCTTTCTGGCCTCTGCTCTCAAATCCAATCAGTCAAAACAATGTTGCAAAGAAGCCCCAGATGAGGTGTTTGTTTCACAGATCAAGAGATTATAAACACTATTCCCTTTTTTGGCTTTCTTTTCAAAAAGGGAATCTCCCCCTTCACCTTCCAGAATATAAAAGTTCCAACAAGGTAGTACCTAATACCCCAGAAACGCTAAAGAAGCCGACAAATCTTTGAAATGAATTGCACTTTCTAGCTTCTTCAAATATCAAAATATTTTCTTTCTTTTCTGATTTTCTCGCACCCAGACCTGCAAAACTTGCAAAATTCCAAAACCGGATCAGCCCAACCACGTTAACACATTGGAAACCACAAAAGAAGCAGAAAACACAAAAATGGAAACCATCTGAAAAAAAAAAGGCTATGTACATCTCCATCATCACAGACCATTACTCCGTACCTTCTCTTTGTTATCAAAACAGCAAAACAACAGCACCCCCAAACCCGCCTAAAGCACAGATTCAGAAACACGGGAAAATTTAAGCTGAAAACGTACAGTGAAGATGATCTGAAAAGGGGCCTAAACTCTAAAGCTCATAACTTGTTTGGGAAACGCCACTCAAAAGCTGTCTATCACGCAACTATCATCTGTTCCACAGCACAAACAACTCGATGTGTGAAGCGCGTGGGACGATGACAACAAGAAACAAGAGTGGGGAGGGGTTGAGGAAATGAGGGTAAGGTGTGGGTTGGCGATGAATGAATGTTTTCCATGTTATATGATTATGGAAAGAAGAGTGTGGGGTGAAACTGTGAAAGTGAGAGAGCAACGAGAGGGGGAATGGGTTACACATAAAAAACACGAAACCACTCACCAATCTGAGAGGGAGAGGTGGGGAATGGTGGGGGGCGGTGTGGACTGCGACGGGACGATTGCTTGCTGCTTTCCAATTACTATTACTGCTGCAATTACTGCTTCTTCACCTCTCTCTCTCTCTCTGCTCAGTGCTGAATGCTGATCTTCTTTTTCAGTAGACTAGACTAGAGACTTGTGTTTTTTTTTCTTTTTCATTTTATACCCATGGTGATCTAACTTGGTCGGATTAATTCTAAGTTCATAGAACTCTATCTTATAATCGTTGAGTCACGTAATCAACATAGTCATTAAACTCTAGTCTTCATGTGTAACAAAACACTCAATCCGCACCTCCCATCTCATTTTTAATGGAATTCAAACTCTCACATTGTCTCATTCTATCATCAAGTAAGAATAGAGTTGTGTTGTTATTTTATTTTTATATTTTAACACTTATGATGATCTGATTTGATCGGATTAATTTAAAGATCACAAAACTCTATCTTATAGTCGTTGTAAATAAATGACGAGTCATGTAATCAATACATTCATTAAATTCTAACTTCATGTGCAACAAAACATCCAATTCACGCTTTACATCTCATTTTTCACCATATTTTTTGCAGTGATATTTTCTATGGAATTCAAATTCTCACATTGTCTCCTTCCATCGTGAAGTTAGAGTAGAGTTGTGTTTTTTAAACTGTGCATGTTTCCATTCCCGGAATTGCCCTCCATCCTCTGCATAATTTGGGTCTTGTCTACCCGGGCAGTAAAAAAAAAAAAAAAAAAAAAAAGGCAACACCTTTATCCAACATTTTACACTAAATTTTATGGTAAATAAAAAAGAAATTCAACGCCTAAATTTATTTATTTATTTATTTGAAAACAATCCAACGCCTAAATTGTTACTCCATCAATTTTAATTCGCATAAATATTTAAGAATAAAATAAAATTGAAGTCTAATGAAAAAAAATCATCATAAAGATTAAGTACATTCTTTGATTGGTGAAAAATAATTACTAAAAATATTGATTTCACTATTTGGTTATGTTTGGAATTGTAAATAATTAGTATAAAAACCAATATATCATTACACAATAACTCGGAGGGTGTGGTTGAGAAGAAGAGACTCGTTCATTCTAAACCAAAGGTCAAGGGTATCTCAGGCCAGTTGTCCCACCTAAAAGGGTGCCTACAATTCAGCAATAATAATTAAAAATTTTAATAAAATATAAAACAAATACTATCTTATAAAAACTAATTTGGTTAGCGTGAGTGGTCGTGGACTCTCATATGTAAAAATCAATCTGGTCAAGCACTTTGCTCATTAATAAAGTGTTAAAAGTGCCTACTTCACCCCTTAATAAAGTGTTAAAGGTGCCTCTTACAGTTATAGCAAAATTGTCTTACTAATTTTTCATATAAAACTTTATATGTGGAAAACAAAATACAAAGGGGAGAAGTCAACAATTTTTTTCTCATTCTTAAAGAAAATATTTTCAAGTGAAAAGTTTTTTCATTACCCAAACTGAAAAAAATCTAATTTTTCTCAAATTTATGAAAAACTTTCAAAGTATTGTTGGAATTTTGAAATAGAATTTCATAGGCTGACATTAGTTTGTTAGAATGTTAAACTATCTTGTAATCAAGTTTTAAAAGGATTGATTTATCACTAATACTGATGGAGTATAAAGAATATAAAGTTGTTCGAGATGTTAGTTTAGTAGATAAAAAGTTACACTTAAGTTTGTATTTTAGCGATACTATAATGAGGTTATTATAAACATTATAAATTTTTGTTTGGGATGACTTTATTACAGGTAAAAGTGTATATTTAAATATTCATAGAGCTTAATATACAATCTAGCGAAATTGATAAACTTGAATTTTATCAAAATAAAAATAAAATAAAGTGCACTGAAATAAAAGTGCCAAAATTTGAATATTGAAAGTGTGCTGTGCAGTTGGGCATTGGCTTTGAAGCTTGTCTTTACTAGTAGAAATCCATCCCACCTCCTCGTTTTAGCCTGCCCGCCATTAACGTTTTCTATCTGTTTTGGTCACGAGATTCACTTCTCCTCCTGTCTGATCACATTTTTAACTTCTTCTCACTCTAAATTTAATGATTAGCAATCAAGTATCTTGTAGTTCAATGACACCTCTAACCAGCTTAATTGGTATGAATGGTTGTACGCTTTATCCTTTTAAAAGAGATTGAGAGTTTGAATCTCTTCACGTATAGAAAATCAATTGGTCGGCACTTTACTCCTTAATTAGGTCAACCCGGTGTAAATGAAAATTAGTGATTTTTTAAACCTTTTGATTTACGAGAAAGTCTGCAACTGTTATCCAAATGTACACTATATATAAAGGTTGCATTGTGACCCTAGTCAGTCAGTAAAATACCACAATGCGATAAAGGTTGCATTGTGACCTTAGTCAATAAAATACCACTATATATAAAGGTTGCATTGTGACCCTAGTCAGTAAAATACCACAATGCGATAAAGGTTGCATTGTGACCCTAGTCAGTAAAATACCACAATGCAATAAAAGTTGCATTGTGACCCTAGTCAGTAAAATACTACAATGCGATAAATCAATATAAAGGTTGCATTGGAAGAATATAAAGGTTGCATTGTGACCCTAGTCAATAAAATACCACAATGCAATAAATGAACATAAATTGTCCATAATTGACTAGTTCAAATTTAAAATGCTAATATATCATCTCGTAGAGTCAAGCTGACTTTTTAAACCTAACTCAAATAGGATTTGAGGATAAAAAAAAATACAAATAATTGAGAAACAAAAAATCGCAATAAATATAATTATGAGACCGACATTGTTATTTCACATCATTTTAAAGACAAAAAGTTGCTTTTATGATTACATAATCATAGTTTATCTTATTTCATAATATATAATAATGTGAACATTGGAGTAGTTAATAATTGAATATCTATTATAACCGTAACTTCGTAAGCTTTTCGTATTAAATTTGAATTTGTTTCACTGCGGTAGATATCAACCGCATACCAATTGCTGACTTTTTTAATGGTTAATTTTGTTTTTAAATGGCACAAGTGACAAAAAGAGAGGGGGGTAGAACCAGTAGGACCCTCGCCGGAAATGGCAGGGCTCATGGAGCTTTTATAGTGTTATGTATTTATCTTAGGTTTTATATTAATGAATTTTGTCTGTTCTTAGGTTATCTGAAGCCGAAGTAATGATAACTTCTATGACAATGTTGGACTGATGTTTTATGAAATTTATGTGAAGAAGACAATGAGGCTTAGATCAAGGCAATTTTCAGTGGGGAGAGTGCCAACTTGTTCAAAGATTTCAAATTCTGGAGGGAAGTTTGTTCAACCACATTCATTCAAAAAAAAAAAAAAAAAGAAGGGGAAAAATAAAAAAACAAATACAGTAATGTTTATAACAGCAAGAGGAACAAATTTTAAAAATTTATCACAATGTATTTTTGAAAATGACTATTTGCTCGTGTAAATATTTTTCAATATTAAGGTTCATAATGAATCTATCTAGGTAATTTACAGACGGATAATATGAGGATACTTGATTACGTGATAACGAATGATAAAATTGAAACGTTATGATTTTAAATATCATTTCGATTATGTATAGTTTCTAATTAATGAATATAGTTTGTACATGTTATAAAGTTGCAGTATTACATTGACTTATAATATGATCATATCGTTCTTTGAACTTAAGATTGAAATCCTTATCTTGATAGACAAATATGACATCTAAAAGTTTAACCACACACCTCGTGATTGTGGGATATGTAAACCCAATTCCTCAAAATGGCCATATAAGAGCATCCTCAGTTGTAATTTTAGGGGAGATTTTTTTACAAATGAAAAAAATTGTTGGGTTGATTTTTGGCTAATGCAAAGGCTGATTTTTAGGGCATTTTTCTCCGGCAACATACTGGTTTTTGCAATATTTTTTTTTTTAACAATGAGACACACAATTGCGTCTCATTATCCACTCACGCTTGGGCAATTGAGAGTGGCCGTCATTAATATCAACGACCAATTCATTTAACCTATCAAAACCAATTATGATACATGTATTTGTTGACTTTTAAATAACTATATATTTATTTAAAGCATTCACACACATTCAGTGATTCAGGACCATAGGATGAGTTCAAGATCAACGGATGAAAATTAATGAAAACGAGAAAAAATATGGTGATATTTTTGTAATTCTATGCACAATATACATTTATGTGGTGAACCAAGTATTGGTGTGTAGTTAACTTATGAATGCATGGTGGTGCACTATGTGATGATATGTGATTCATTGAGCGATGGTTTGTGATGCACCACCAAGTTGCTAAAAATCAATCAAATGCAAAAAATGAAATGACACTATTATAATTTTGTGCGTCATGTATGTTTCGGTGGTACACTTTTGATGCTTTGTAAACGATGGTCTGTGATGAACCACCAAAAAATGAAAAACGTTGTGGGATCAATAAACTTGTCACCCGCTGAGTAGTACCGTTTGACCAACGGATCTATTGAACTCGTCGACAGATTTAACACCCCCGTTGTGTTGGACAATACTATATGCACTACACATTAGCACTTAATGCATCAATGAAAAATACATAATTAAAAAGAATTAAGAAATTGTCATTCATTTTTTTTTCTGATTTATTAATTTTCAACCTTTGATATATATATATATAGTTTTGTGTAAATTCTATTAACTTATAAAACAAATAAAATTGTTAGATTTTAAGAGGATAATTAAAAGTAATTAAAAGAAGTACTCCGTATATTGCAATTTAAAATTTATTTATCGAAATAAAAAAAAAGTATATTACAATTTAAAATTTAGTTATCGAAATAAGTGCAGAAAGTTTGGCCACTTTCCCTAGACCCAGCTGACACCAATTCGATCTCTGAAAGACTGAAAGCCTCATTTAATGAATGACTCATTGACATCACATCCAACCCTCCTGTCCCAATAAATGAAAATTAAGGAAAAATGATAATCCTATTTGTACAACTCTAATTACTACTCCGTATTTACTTTTCATTTTGATAGATGTGATAATTTTATTATAGAAGAATAAGGGTCAAATAGGCCACTGAACTGTATATCAAAGTGTAATTAGGTCATCGAACTCAAAAATAATGTAATTGGATCCCTGAACTACACAAAATCGTGCAATTAGGTCCAAAATAACTTGTTTACCTGAAATGCAGGTTACCAATTTTAAAAATAATTTATAAATATATTTTAAAATAAAATAATTAATTAAAAAAAAACTAAATCTAAATTTAAAATTGCCGGAGACGAATCGTCTCTGACAGTCTTTCGCCTCCATGGCCGGAGACGAAAGCTTCGTCTCTGGCCATGGAGATGAAGAGCTTCGTCTCTATGGCCAGGAGACGAAGCTTCGTCTCCCTGACCATGGAGACGAAGGCTTCGTTTCCATGGCCGGAGACGAAGCTTTCGTCTCCGGCCATGGAGACGAAGAGACCTTTGTCTCCATGGCTAGGGAGACGAACCTTCGTCTCCATGGCCGGAGACGAAGCTCTTCGTCTCCATGGCCGGAGACGAAGCTTTCGTCTCCGGCAGTTTTAGATTTAGTTTTTTTTTTTTAATTAATTATTTTATTTTAAAATATATTTATAAATTATTTTTAAAATTGGTAACCTGCATTTCAGGTAAACAAGTTATTTTGGACCTAATTGCACGATTTTGTGTAGTTCAGGGATCCAATTGCATTGTTTTTGAGTTCGATGGCCTAATTGCACTTTGATGTGCAGTTCAGTGGCCTATTTGACCCTTATTCCTTTTATAGATGGTGTAATTAGAATTACTTGTTATTTGTACTACTTTCATTAAAATTAGTCTAACATTATAAAGCCGTTTACTAACTGAAAATATTTAAAATTAAAAAATAGAAAACAGAAAACATGTTTACTAACACAGTTTTTCATTTTGAAAACTGAAAATAATTTCTGAAAATTTTTAAAAAATTGGAACACACTTAAAAACTGTTTTCGAAATGGAAAATATAATTATCTATCATCTATTTAATTATATGTCATTATAACTAAATTACTATGATTACATTCATTATCATCTTATTTTACTTATCACTATCTTCTACCTTTTCTACTTACTTTACTTATTCAAACATAATCTATTTGCTTACACTTTAAAGTTATACATTATTTACATTATCAAAATTAAGAATTAAATTTTATATAATGTTTTAGATTTTGATTGAACTCAATATATTATTAGTTTGAATGTTTTTTTATTATGTTACATCATAATACAATTTCGATTCATATATCGGATGTTAAAATCTCACATATATTAGAATTCAAAGTAAAAGTTATATATTCTTATACATGTCATCCAAATGAATATATTCAAAAAAATATTTAAAATAATAGTTCAATAAATATTAATATCATTTAAACTAAATTTCAGGTGAAAACAGAAAACAAGATAACAGTTTTCAATTAGTAAACAAGTTTTCTAAACAGAAAATAGATAATGGAAAGTAGAGAATGAAAACTGAAAAATTAGAAAACATAAAATAGAGAACACGTTTCTGTTGGTAAACGGACCATATGTTTTTATTAAAATATTTATTATTTATTTTATTTCAAATTGTAATTAAAAAATTAAAACATAAAATTTTAAAAGTTAGTTAGACTATTGATTTCGTATTTACAAAATTACAAGTAATTATTGGTATTTTGAATTTTAGCAAATTATTTAGATATAATATAAATTTATTCACAAAAAAAAAAAAAAAAATTCTCGCCATTAATTTACTTCTTTATGATATTTTATCTGTTAGGATTTATTTTAAAATGGTCCAAGATCTAATATCAACAATCGATCAGCTAATTTTAGAGTGCAAAAAATGGATCAAAAGAAGATGGAGTGTTATATGACATCACGTGCTGTGGGAACAGAACTAAGGGGGTATTTAGTTGGGATGAAGGAATTATGAATGAAAGGAATTGCAATTCGGTGGGAAAAAAATAAGGTAAAAATAATGTAGGAATTCAAATTAAATTGTTTGGTAAGGAGTAATAGAATTATTGGGGATGAGAATGAAAAAGTGATATAAAAATTAAAATATTCTTGTACAATAATAATAACAATAAAAACCATGGGTAGTAGTATCATTTGATCTCATTTTCCTTTCTCAAATTCATTGAATTGCTATTCCCTCCTTGAATTGCAATTCTCTCAAACCAAACACTGTATTTCAGACCTTCATTGAATTACAATTTAATTACAACCAAATTACATTCAACCAAACGCCACGTAAGTGGCAGATTGTCTTGCTAAAAATCATAATTCAATCTTATTTGGTTTTGTTTCATTTTTGTCCCAATGCTAAGCTACTGATACGGGTTCAGCCTTTTAGGAAAATGATGATTACATTTTGTTGTTTTGTTTCTCCCGCGACATCGCCCTTCATTTTCATTAAATAAATAAATGAATAAACAAGCGGTATGCGGTCAGCTTGTTTAGTTAGATCAGTGAGATTTAACAAATCATTGACTCAGTATAAATCTCATTTAATTTAATTATTAATTATTGTGATGTTTATTTAATCTGATCCATTCTGTGATTGAAATGATATATGAGAGACGGGACTTTACAGGGGCAACCCGCCGTTATCCCAGTTGTCTCCGTCAAATCCTTTGCTTCTAATTACCCGATCCCCCATGCATCTTAGAACAGACGTTTTCCTTCTGTCACTGACAATAACGTCCTTCCGTTACGTCACTTACCTGTCACCGTGTCACGTTACCGCGTGCACACTCATCAAATCATCTGGAGGCGAACGTCTGCGTAACGGCGATGACGGCCGAGCAACGTCGGACATGGTCCCACGTTCTACGGATCGTGTCTCCGTCATACACGTACTTCTGTGTTTTTAAATTTTAATTACTCCATAATAATAATACTCCGTAGTAGTTTAAGACGTATAACTGAGGTTTAGTTGAGATTATCCTATACGATCCGATCCTAAACGGTCCAAAATTTTCCCATATTTACGTGTCAGACAGAACCTGGATTTCGTGGAATAAGCCAAAATGGAAGTCCTGTTGAACCACAGCTAAGAGTGAAAGGCAATAATATTATATTTCCTAAACTAGATTCACTTAACAAACCCAAAACTCGAACTAATGAAGTTGTAATTAAATTATAATTAGAATAAGAAGTGGAGTGGGGTAGGTAAACGTAGGTGAAGAAGTCGTCGCAGTATGGTGTCTGCGTGCACGTCCAAAGGATATTTAATTTGGTGTGTAGCGATGGCGAGACAGACATTTCGTATCGTTTTTAAACAACGATCCTTAATTTTCGGATTTCTTGTTTCACAATCTTTCTTTCATAGTGAATTTGTCCACTTTAAACATAAGCCTTGTTTGGTTAATGAATGTTAGGTAGTAGCTGATTGGGTTAATTTGATAGTATAATTAGTTTATAACATTAACTGATTGTATAAAGTTGTTTGGTAAATTCGCTGATAGCTGTTTGGTTTAATTTCATTTTACAAAAAGTTAATAGAAAAAGTTGTTTTGAGCAATTTTTTTAATTTTAGTATTTTAAAGTTACAAAAAGTTAATTAATCAAATACTGATATTGATTTTTTAACTAAATCAAAAAGTTAATACTGATCAAATAAGTCAAAATTGACCTAAATAGGGCCAATCTCTACACTATCGTCATCGAAGTTCGAACCTTGATTTTTTTTTATTTCCAAATATTAAATATTAAACCATTGAGCTAAACTTGTATACACATTTTTTTTTTTTTTGGAAAAAGTGTCAAATAATCCCTCGAACTTTAGCTTAAAAGTCAATTAGGCCCCTAAACTTTTTAACTGTGCAATTACACCCATCAACAATTCATTTAGGTGCAATGAAGTCCAAAATTAGGTTAACGACCTGCTATCACAGGTCATTAGGGTTCAGGCTACCATCTGACGAATTTTCCGGCAGAAAAAAAAAGTGACCGACGCCCGACTGACGAAAGTTCTGACAAAAAAAAGTGACCAGCGACCGACAAACGGTCGCCGGTCACAGAGAATGTCATTTTTTTTTTTTCCGAAAAATTCGTCGGAAGGTGGCCTGAACCCTAATGACCTGTGATATCAGGTCATTAACCTAATTTTGGGCTTTATTGCACCTAAATGAATTATTGATGGGTGTAATTGCACCTTTAAAAAGTTTAGGGACTTAATTGACTTTTAAGTTAAAGTTTAATGGTCTATTTGACCCTTTTCCTTTTCTTTTTATTTTTTTTATTTTTTTATTTTTTATCAAGAGGTGAGATACTTCGTGTATGGCGTTGCAGTGATCCACGACAATTCCTTGTTAAATAAAACATGATTCATTCTGTTTTGTGATGTATACTAACATTATTTAAATGGCTGTGTTGTTCAATGATATGTATTTGGGATAGAGTAAATTCTCATTATTTAGCCATCAATTATATTATTATTTATTTGATTTTGAATACATAAGTATTAAGACATTATGTGACAAACTCAATTAATAATGTATTAACAATAATTAAACTCGTGATTATTCAAGTACATGAATTATGTTTCACTTGTTTATAAATCGTGGTTGGCATATAATTGGATTATATAATTTCTGATTAAATTGGTATTTAACTGTTTTTACTTTATATGGACTAGTTGATTTTTTAATTATCAATTTATGTAGAAAGTAAAATGCAAAAAGATGGACGGATAACTCAAAATAAATATGTTAAGTAGCCTGCAGTTGTTTTTTCAATAATTGATTGAAAGCAATAGGTATAGTTTTGGTTGATCATACTACTCAATTTTGATCAATTATTTGGTTTTTTTTTTTTTATGTCTTAAATGTTTTTCAATTAAGATAATATTTTGTTTCACTTGTTCAAGATTATTTGCTATTTAATCACTAAATCAATTTTAAGTTGAGTTATGATCAAATCCTTTATATGGCCTTTCAAAAAAATATATATATATATTTATATGGCAGGGTGAAGTGACAACAAGTTATTTTGTAAAAATTGACTGCACCTGTTTAGTTTAATGGTTCAATATGCAAATATGTAATATTTGGGGAAGAGACTAAAATTTGAAACTTGATAGCGGCAGTGTGGATTGTGTTCAAAGTGGACATATCCATTGTGTGTACCGAAATTTGACCATGTCTGCTTACCCACCGAGTTAAAGTGATTTACATAATTTCAAATGCTCATTCAAGCCGGGGTGTGAGGACTCTTGGGTTTGATGATTCAACATTTTGGGGAAGTTATTTTGTAAAAAGTGTGAATTAATCTTATCCATCTATTTAAAATTATCACATGTTAAAACTTAAGGAAAAAATCAGTGACATTTTTGTAATTATTACGATGTATTTGAAATTGTTTGATAGCACATGTATTAGTAACTGACATTCAAGTCTATTTAAAATTAGTGACATTTTTATAATTATTAATATTAATTATTAATATGCATTTGGAATCGCCGAATAGTACATTTATGCATAAGTGACATTCAAGATCTATAATGTACAAGTGTATATAGTGTACACTATTAGTTATCCACGTATAGCATCAAGTGTTTTCTAATACACCATTTTCGTCATTTTTTCTTATATCCCATTATCCCAATCATATCAACATAGATAAATATATGAGATTAATTCACAAAATTTACACAAGAAACTTATTCTCATTATAATCATTCTCACATATATATAAAAAAGTGATTTTATGTGTTTTCCAATTGTTACAAGGTAGGATTGCAATAAGAAGAATTGTTTGGCAGAAATTGGGGCAAATTATTGTGATTCATGGTTAATGCTATGTGAATCATAATAAAAAATAATTTTAAATATAATAAAAGTATATTATTTATACTATATAAAATAATATATTTATCTTGAATATAATGTAATTTTGATTATATTAAAAGTATATTATTTAATACTTTATAATATGATCCACACAATAATGATTGAGAAATTGGTGGCCCGAGCAGGCAGACAAGAGAGTATATAAATGTAACATTGGGACAATACAAGAAACAATCGTTATGCGTTGGACCCGTGTCCAGCATGCTTGCTGGACACGGGTAACAGTGCCGTTAGGCACTGTTATCTCCTTTTTCTTCTTTTTAAAAAAAAAAAAAAAAAAAATTCAGACCGCTTCATTGTAAGAGTATATGTTCATAATTTTATTACTATATGTTAATAACTATACATTCATAACTCCATAACTGTACGTTCATAACTCCATAACTGTACGTTCATAACTCTATAACTGTACATTCATAACTCCATAACTGTACATTCATAACTCCATAATTGTACATTCATAATTTTCGAAGCTCTATGTTCACAATTTTAGAGCTCTATGTTCATAATTTTATCACTATATGTTCATAATTGTAAGTTCATAATGTTAGAGCTCTTTGTTCATAATTTGATCAATAACTGTACATTCATAATTCCATACTGTAGATTCATAATCTCATAACTGTAGATTCATAACTCCATAACTGTAGATTCATAACTCTATAAGTGTACATTCATAACTCCATAACTGTACATTCATAATCTTCGAAGCTCTATATTCACAATTTTAAAGCTCCATGGTCATAATTTTATCACTATATATGTTCATAATTGTAAGTTCATAATGTTAGAGCTCTGTGTTCATAATTTCATAATTGCATAACTGTATATTCATAACGACATAACTGTACATTCATAACGGCATAACTGTACATTCATAATCAAAAAAAAAAATAACGCCGTTAACGGTAAAACGCAGGCAATTTTTTTTTTTTTTTTAACTAAATGACGCGTTTTTTTTTTTTAAAAACGACGTCGTTTTGGGCCCGTGTCCACAATTCAATGTGGACACGGGTCCAGGGCATAATTTGCCTACAAGAAACCAAAACTCCTATAATTCAACGGGTCTGGCGTATGGGTTTCTCTAATTTAATGAACCCTTGCCCAGTTGCCCGTGAAACTGTGAAACCATGGCCCATATAGCCATATAGGTGGTCCAACGCTAGGCGCACTTATATTAATATGTTCAACTCCTCCATTTTTTAACTTATTACTAATCTTCCCCAGCTATTAACTGTTTCTGCCACGTTTTATTTACAATGTTTAATTTCTCACTTAATAAGAGTTAATTCCAAATGTGTATATTAATTAATTTTATATTACAAAATAAAATGTATGTCTTTAATCATGACCACCAATAAAAGTCATACCATATACAAAAAAAAAAAAAAAAAAAAAAAAAAAAAAAAAAAAAAACTAAATTCAAAATATCTAGTATTGTCAAAGCAGGTCGGTGGAACAAGGCCTATTATTTAACGACCCTAAAAAAATGCTAGATTGCCCCAACGTGCTTAGGCCTACCAAACTCCTAAAATTTTAAGTTTATTTAAATATTATTTTAAATTTTAATAATTATTTACTAAAATAATTTAGATAGTTAAAAAAAAAAACATTAACATCATTTGTTACCGTTAATAATAACTAATAAATTCAAATAAACAGATAATCCATACAAAATTAATCCAAAGTTAAAGAATTCGTAGTTAATATAGATACATATATTATAAATAATTTATACATTATACTAATATGCTATTTTAAATAAGGTTTTAGGTGCATTCAAAAAATAAGGTTTTATGTTTTTATTAGTTTAGTAGTATTAATACCAAAAAAAATTAAGAATCACAAATCATTTATACAAGTGTAGTTATTAAACTCATGACTCATCTATAAATTAACTTTGTAAAGTTATTATTATTATTATTATTATTATTATTATTATTATTATTATTATTATTATTATTATTATACGCTAGGATATGATCGAATGGCTATCTTCAGGGCAATTTGCCCCTATCGACCAACATGTGACATCGATCAATGTCCTTACTCGTTAACGTTTATTTGAGTATGGGTCGATATGCATTCATCATCCTAGATTTTTTGTTCGGTTTAGCCTTCTTCCTCAACTTGGGTTGGGCCTTTCCTATTCTCAATACTCCATCAATTACTTTTATGAAAAGATTGATTAAATTTATGTATATTAACCACTTCAACTTGTTATATTATAGTAAAATTATGCATGAAAAACAACCATTTTGAGATGAGATGAAAAGAGCATATATTAAGATAAGGAGAGATTGTGGATGCAAACATGCATGTAGTACATGTTAACGTTAAAATATTGTACTTTTATTATGGACAGATAAATATGGATGCATGTTGCATGTTGACGTGCAGGTGAGCAATTTGCAAATAATCTTTTTTTTTTTTTTTTTTTTTTGGGATAAATTTGCAAATAATATTTGTTATCAACAATCACGTGTTGGGTGGTCCTTACCATGCACCCATCATATGTTGTTGTAATAATTTAAAAGATGGATGATGTATACTAGTGGGTGTAGTGGGAGACTATTAATTATTGTTTGGGAATGACACTTATTTTAGTAAGGTGGTGAGGAAAATGTGCATTTAAAACATTTTAATTATACACTATGAGATGTTTTTCATATTTTTTTTTAATGGAGAAATGGTAATAAGTCCTTAAATTTTACTTGAAAGTGAAATTAAGTATCTTAACTTTTAAAAAGTGTAATTAAACATTTGAACTTGTCATTTTGGTGTATCTAAATCCAATAGCTGATTATCTACATGGAATAACCAGTCATAGGGTTCCAACGACAATTTCGATGATAATTCCAATGACAAAAAATTATGACAAACGTAAAAGTAAAAATAAAATTTGAGTAGCACGTTTTCCACAGAGACAACCGACTGGTCGTCTTCTTCGATGGATAAGGCGACCAAATTGGTCGCCTTCTCAACCGGAAGTTGCATTTTTGTGTTCCATGGTGGTGGTCAGCGGTGACCAATGACGATAATTTTTCAGGCTTTAACTCATTTTGACATTTCGAGTGTTTAACTATATTTTTTTTAAGTTCAAATGTACAATTTCAAGTAAAGTTCAATATGATTTTTAATTTTTTTTAAAAAATTTGTAAATATTACTTTAACTTTGTAAATGTAACAGTTCGATTTCGGTATTCGATAAATGAAACCTCCAAATGTCATTGCATACTTAAGGGTTCCGTCTTGACATTTGTAACTTGTGAAAAGAAGAACCAAAACAACTTGTGATCGGTTATGTATCACCGCCATCACATATTATTATATTATTATTACAAATAATATGTTTATTTTCAAGAAAATTAACCAAACAAAAAAAAATTGCAATTTCTTAAATTTCAGCTGAACATAAAATGTAATTTAATGACCTTCAGCCAGCCCCAACACATTAACACCCATCGATAAATGTCTATTTATAATATATTAGAATTTTTTTTTTTTGATAACTATAATATATAGTGCAACATCTTAATTGAGATAAGACTTAAATTCGTGACCTTCTATTTAAAATAATAACAATAAAATGTCGTCAGACCATAAGATACTTGACAGTAAAAATTCATTTTTAATTTACTATATACTCATTTTAAAATAATATACTATACTAAAACGAACATTTATGTCAGTGATTTACTTTCTAATATGGATCTGACCCACAATTTAATGATTGCATACAATAAATTTGGAAGAACATGACCAAAATTGGGCCTGAGTATAGGCCTCTAACTCTCTAAGGGCCTTTTTTTGTCCATTTCTGAATATAACCGCAAATTTGGGGTAATCATTATTGTGTGGACCATGGTCCATACAAGTTGTGTGGATCATATTTTGTATACTATAAAATAATGTATATTTAGTACAAAAATAATATACATTCAGCACAAAAATAATGTACATTGTATTCAGATGATGTACATTATTTTTGTACTGAGTGTACATTATATTGTATAATGTACATTCAGTACAAAAATAATGTAATATAATGTACACTCAGTATAAAAATAATGTACATTTAGTATATTTAAAATGTACTTTTTGTTATGGTCCACGTAACACTGTGTGGACCAATAATTTGCCAAATTTGGGTTGGCCAAGTTTTAAGACAATAGTTATGTTGTGAAAACGTGTTCACCATGCGCATGGTAAATATATGGGTAAATTCATAATTTATATACTGTAGATTCATATTTTTTTTTTTTTGAAAACGTAGATTCATAATTTTGTTTTTCATTTGTTGTTAACGGGATAGATCCATAATTTCTAAGTTGTAGATTCATAATTTTTATAATGTAGATTTATAACATCTATACTGTAGATTCATAAT